TTTATTTTTTTATTTTTTGAAAAAAAAAACCATTTTTTTTTTTTTTTTTTTTTTTTGCCAAAGTTACTCAGGAAGGTCCAAAGAACTGCAGGTTGGAGATCCCTGGTCTAATTACACATGTTCTCTATATTTTCCGTGTTTAACTGTTGTTGTTTTTTTCTCTGGATTTATTGCATTGCGCCTCATCTTGTGTTTCACTGTTTGTTTCACTGTATTGTCTGTGTTTTCATTCAGGCTACAGCAGAGGCCAACAACTTAGCAGCAGTCGCAGCGGCGAAGGATCTGTACAACAAAAAAATGGAGGAGGTCGGTGGAAACGAGCAGCCTGGGTAAACGTGAGCGCCAAATTCCCAACTTCCTTTCCCGTTAATCCACATGCCTCTCTGCCCCCCTCCCCCAACAGGTCTGTGGGGGCGACCGGCCCTTCCTGGCCCCCAGTGAGCTGCAGAACCGACACGGGGCCATCAGGGAGGAGGCCCTGCAGCTCTTCCGCGGCGTCAAGAAGATGGGCGGCGAGGAGTTCAGCCGCCGCTACCTGCAGCAGCTGGAGGGCGAGATCGACGAGGTGTTCGTCCAGTACATCAAGCACAACGACTCCAAGAACATTTTCCACGCCGCGCGCACGCCGGCCACGCTCTTCGTGGTCATCTTCGTCATGTACGTGGCGGCGGGCATCACGGGCTTTGTGGGCGTGGACATCATCGCCAGCCTGTGCAACATGATCCTGGGCCTGGCGCTGATCACGCTCTGCACCTGGGCCTACATCCGCTACTCCGGGGAGTACAGGGAACTGGGCGCCGTCATCGACCAGGTGGCCGGGGCGCTGTGGGACCAGGTGGGTGAAACTCACTGAATCCAAACTTCTGAGCGGGACCGGATCTACGAGGGTGTGGGAACCCGTGTTGGTGGTCCTTCCACTGAAGAAAGATTTCTTTCTAATGCAATTACAGTGAATTAATAGGTAGTTCTATACGTATTTGGGTAAGAACTGATGATAGCAGCTAATGGTGGTGGGTTTATTATGTCCCCCACCCCCCAAAAAAAAATTTGTATAACTTCATAATTTCAAATACTTGAGTATTGCTAATGTTCATAGTGGACTCTTATATAAAGTGCAAAGTCAGCAAAACATGCATTTAAAAAAAAAAATCTGTGTCCCACATCCCCTAAAAAATAGAGCCCTGGGTTACTGCCCCTTTCTAAAGTCTGGTCATCGTCTAAACTACATTTCTACTAAGCAATTTGCAATAAAAATGTATTGATTTCTCCATATAGATCCAATTTGTGATTGAAGATTTTAAAAAACAACAAAGATTCATATTTTAAGCTGCATTTGACTGAGATATTTGTTGTGTTTTGCCAAGGAATGAAATTATAGGTTCTGTAGTTTATTCATTTGTGGTCAAAAAAAACCAAAAAAAAAAAACAAAAACCAAAAGAACAAAAAAACAAATCATCAGCAAACACACAATTTATATCCACTAGGTGGCAGTAAATCCTACATTGGGTTCGGTGCATACAGTTTCTGTGAAAATGGTTAAAAGGAAGGATGGAGATAAATAACACAAGGGAGGGAAGGGATAAAACAAAACACGGAAAGTGAGAAAGGAACAGCAGAAAGGAAAGACAGGAAGAACACAAAAAGGAAAAGAAGGAAAGAAAGGGAGGAATATTTAGACAATAAGAAAGGGAATAAAGTCTGGAAATACTGACAATTTTACTTTTTTCCATTTTACGACCAGATTAAGTTCCTCTTCGTTGTTGCTTAATCTGTGTTTTAGTTGTGCATCTTATCCACTTACTTTACGTGTGCTTATCTCTCTTAATGCTTCTGCAGGGGAGCACGAATGAGGTGAGTTTTTCCGAAGAGCCAGGAGAGCTAATGCATCTGCTTACCAAACGACAACTCGCGTTTGTGTCTGCTTTTATTTTTCTAAATTAGTGTAGGTAATCAAGTCCTTTCTTGTTGCTCCATAAACATGTCTTGCCTTGTGCGCCCCCCCATGCCACAGCTGATGCTGGCTTTCACACTGTCTGCTGGTAGCGAGAGTGTGAAAGCCACAAGATGGCATCTCTGCTCTTCGGCTTGGTGGATGCAGGTTTTCTCACTCCTATGAAAGTATGAAGAAACTGGGGAAATAAAAAGGAAAATCACAAGTAGTTATCGTTATTTTACTCAGATGCCACTTAATAAAATCAATGGGCGTAATTTTTTCATTCTGACAATGAAAAGGGTGGTTGCAGCATTATGCTGTGGGCATTTCCTGGAAGGAAACATGCTAAAGGCTGCAAAAAAAAAAATAAAAAATGAATCTGAGGTGGAGGTTCGTCTTCCTGCAGATAAATGACCGAAAACATCCAGCCGAGGGTTAATATCAAAGCATATTCATGTGTTAGAATGGTCCAGTCAAAGGCCAGACCTAAATCTAATTGGGTATCTAATTGATCTGACTGATTTTGCAAAAATGTCAGTTTCTTGATGTGGTTGTGATGACCAATCATGCAAAAAATAATAAAAAGAAAACATATCAGATTGTAAAATCAAAATGTTAAAAGGTTAATGGGGTGAGAATGCTTGAATACTCTTGAAACCTGCTATAACTGGACAATAAATTATCCCAGAAATTATTTCGATAAACATTAATATTATCATTTTGAGGCCATCTTCAACTGGTGCATTGATAAAGGCAAAATAATAAAAGTAAACCCTAAAGAAAGCTCAATAAATTATAATTTCCAAATAACATTTAACACTGGA